TTCGCCATTTCATCTTCTGAAATTTTCAATGGGAATTTTCGCAAACTTCTAACAGAAACTTTCCAGCTGCCAACAAGGTAAGTAACGATAGGCATTTATTAGCAGACTATTGCTGGCCACGTAAAGAACTTGGAAGGGTTTTCTTGAGGTCTTTTTCGCTGGTCAACCTCAAGAACGCGGTCATTTGTTCGAGAAAGTCGTCTAGTTATTCACAGTGCAGTGCGACGATATTATGTCAATTCTCAGTCGATGAGATCCGACCACATATTTAAATTTGATGACTGTATCCTATTAATACTGCATATTCCCTTGCATACGCCACCCGTATCTGCTCCTGCTCTGTTTATGTCCCTGATGATGAATCCGCGACGGATCTCGAAACGTCAGGCGAATAAAAGTATTGTCTCCGCGATCGAGTCATCGTCTGGGACTCGCATGTTCGCTTGCATTAGCAAAAAGGGTTATACTGAACATTCCATAATTAAAGCCTTCAAACACTCGAATATGCTTTTAAAGCTACGTTTACAGCCAAGTGTGACTTTCAAAAGGTGTGGCATAATAATTTATACGCAGCTAATAGAAATATTTGAATAGCATGTATTTACAACACCGGCAAGATCTACAGAATTAGCTTAAGCCTGTTTATCCTATAGTCACAATGAAAAGCCTTGAAGGGTAAAGGTACGCAGAGCTGGTCGCAACGAAGACCGAGACAGAAGATGAGGGCAGAAGACCAAGACTGAAGAAAGAAAAGGCTGTCATTTTTGCTAAAGCTCATCTGAGAAATGTTTTAGCATTTTTGCAGAAAAAGAGTATATCAGTGGAGAAAAAACTTGGAGAAATACCTCTGGCAAGCCTTCGATGAATTCATGCACATTAGCCTGTTTTGCGGCCTCTATTATCTGATCCATGGATGGTTCCTTCTTATTAAGTCCATAGGCAATATTCTCGCGGATACTCACGTCAAAGAGGTTTGGTTCCTGGGACACAATACCAATCTGATCCCTGATCCAGTTAGGCGAAAGACTGCGCAGATCCATACCATCTACGAATATTCCACTGTCAGGACCGCGTTCATCAACGTCATACAGTCTTTGCACCAGTTGAATTATCGTTGATTTGCCACAGCCAGAAGTGCCAACTAGAGCGTTCGAAGTGTTCGGCTCTATTACATGCGTAAAAGACTAAAACAGCAGGATGAGTGTCAGTTTGAACCAATAATCACAGAAAGGCATTAGCATTTTTTACTGGAGCTGCTTCCATTGCATTTTGTTAAAATACGCATAGACTGGGTCAAGCATGAAAGGGTTACCTTATACTGTCAATTATATTGTAGTATGAGTTAAGTTCGCCAACCTTTCACTGATAAAATGAAAAAAAGAAATCAAACTCAGAGCATTCATTGTTCTAAAGCACAAGTGTATAATGACGGGAAACCAAACGAATGCGTGACAAAATAAGGCATTAACAACGCCTTCCAAGGCTACAAGGACTACCGTATTTTCAAGACTATAAGACTCCCTTAAAATCCCTTAGTTTCCTAAAAAACGACAGTAAGCCTTGTAACCGGAGTGCTTTTTATCTCGATTAATTCTGATTACTGATCTCGAAGCGAATTTGTGTGGTACACAGTGCAGCGTTAATCCATAGGCCAGGGTGTCACAGAGTAGTACATACTGTGCTACATCATCATAATATTAACGTGTTCGTATGTACCTCAAAATGGCACTTCTGAAAAGACACACTTAAGACGCGGAATTAAACCTCAAGCCCATCAGTCACGCAGTAGAACATGGAGGTAAAGCAGCTGCGAGAGAATTCAGCATTAATGACTCAATAGTACGGAATTGGAGGAAGCAAGAAGATGACATGCGTCAAGTAAGCCGACCAAACAGAATTTCCTACGGAACAAAGCAAGATGGCCACCGTTAGAGGACAAAATTGAACAATGGGTTATTGAACAGATAGCAGCAGTTAGAAGCGTCTATGCAGTCTCTATTCAAATGCAAGCAAGAACGTTAGTGAGGGAAATGGATATCAATGGCTTTCGAGGCAGTATTTCTGGGTGATTTCATTTCATGAAAAGACTTAATCTCGTCGTCCGAACACGAACGACCGTCAAGTAGCAACTACCAAAAGATTATGAAGAAAAGTTGGCCATTTTCTGCGCACACTGCAAAAACAAGATCACTGAAAAGAAGATTCAACCAGAGCACATCAACATCGTGGACGATGTTCCCCTCACCTTTGATATTCCCGTGAACCGCACTGAGGAGAGTACGGGGACAGACTGACTTATCTGACTATTTCAAGGAAAGGCGTCATTTGGGAAAATTAGAAAATTTATTTGTAAATTTACGACACTGGAGCCGCAGGTCGTTCTCAGACTTGAGAAAAATGTGCAAAGAGCAGTTAACACTTCAAAGTGCTGATGCAGTTAAGTAGTCATCTAGTGTGGGCGCTAATTGGTGGTTGCAATTTGCGTCACATCGTGGTGGACATAATTAGCACTTGCAGGGGCGTAAGGGCGAATTGGCAACTGTAATTTGAGTCGGTTCGGGGTCAGTCCAGGTCATCCGGTGTGAGCGCTAATTGCGGTTCTTGTTGGTCCATAGTTGTCGGCTGTAGTCTGTTCCACCTTTCTTTGAGGTGTTTGTACACTCCAGGCAACTCGACACGCGGGTTGATGCATGAACCATCAGAGTGCGTGGCCTCAAGAAATTCTCGGCCTTTTTGGAGGGGAAAACTCCGACGATGCGTGTTTTATTCCATGCAACGGTATGTCCTGTGTCAAGGCAATGCATAGCCACTTCGGACAAATGGTCACGTCCCTTCACAGCCAATTGGTGCTCGTCGATGCGTGTGGAGACGGATCTTTCTGTTTGGCCACAATATACGGTGTCACAAGCTTGACATGGGATTTTGTAGATGGCTTCTTTCTTATCGAGGTAGCCAAACCTATGCTTGGGTGCGTAAAGTAGTCATCGGTTTGTGCGCCACTTTTTTTCTGACTGTTTTGCATCACTTAGTGCGCTTTTGTATTCCGGTGCGCTGTATATCAGAAAACAGTTCAAAATTAAACCCTTCATTAACAATGCTCCAGTACACGCTATAATACGGGAAATACGGTAGGTAATACATATGTAGCCGTTCACCTCTGCCAACCAAGAAATGCAGCAGAGGTTTAGCAAAATGTCTCTACGCAGTTATAAGTTGGCATTTCTAGCGATACGGAAGGACTGTCGGACATGGTCGCAGCGGTGCAATAGGTAGAGTACTCGCTGCGGTCTCAGTTTGGTGAATGTTGTCGCCCTTACAACACAACGCCTATTTGTCGTGCGAATTTTTCGATTTCGCTCAGTCCAAAATAAAAAAACCTTTTCCCTATGCCAGGAGCCAACCGATTCCTACATACCAGTTTGGCACAACACGGTCAAAAAGCATTTTTAATAAGAATAGAAGTGAAACAACTTGCCTTTAGAATAAGGATATTACGACGTGCCGGATAGCGAAAGTAGACATTCCTGAATTCAATGCTGCCGGATAAAGGTGTTTCCGGCGATGCACCGACGTTTGCATCCATTTCCGTTGTGCGTTCAATAGTAGCAAGAGTCCTCTTGATATTCGAATGCGCAGACTTGAAATCCGTAGCTAAAGAAGCAGCGCGGCCTAAGCCCTGGGCAGCAAAATTGATTGAGGCGAAGATTCTATGCAAAGGAGAAAACGTGAGACTTTTAGCTTACGTCCTATGAACTACAAAGGGTAGTGCGGCAGCAGCAACTCGCATGCCCCATAGAAATTTTACCAATGATGAAGAAATAATAATTTTGTTGTGAATCCATGCAGTTTGAAATTAATTAGTTTGCGCTACGCGAACTTAGTAGTACAGTGTAGGAATCCGTAATTGTCTTGATCCTTACTACAGGGTGTCCACACAGTCTGGGTACATAGGAATTTTAATATTTTATTTATTTATGTTATTTTTGT